GAGCTAACTAACGAGAGCGATGCAGAGACCATACTCGTTGCTCATGACCCTTCAATGTGTCAATATACTCACGTCGAAGTACCAGAAATGTCCAATCGTCTTGTGGCTATAAACTTGCCAATGATAGATCCGCCCATGGAGTGAACGGTGAGCATCCGAGCAGATAGAGAGATTGCAGAGATTTCAGCATCTGCTCCGTCCAAGTTGATGAAATCAAAGTCGACCAGGCTCATGTCATCGAACGCATGACTGAATCCAGGAAGATGAGTGCCTATTCCTGGATACATGAACCTGTGATATGGAAGTGACAAGGATATGTCATAGCGGCCAATCTCTGCAACGTGCTTTGTGGGCTGGTTGTATTGGTGAGTCGGGTTCGTCACTAAACAGGACCCTAAACTGACCTTGAGTTGAAGAGCTGATGTATGGTCGCGCATTTGCCCAACGCAAACCTTGGTATGTCGGACATCATCTCCAGTGATTCCAGAGGCGGTGACTCGCAAAGCGGCTTCCCCTTCCTCCAGTTGATCATCTAGAGAAACTCGCAACGAACCATGCGCCTTATTAAAATATGAACGGATAAACAGAGGTGCATCCAGCCTCAAATTGTGGGAAACCCTGGCAAACACGTATCATCAGCAAGGTGGATGACGAAAAGAGCGATTCTCTTACGTCCAGACGATTTCTTCCGAGTCTAAACTTGGATCGACTCCTTCTGTCCAGTCGAAGCACTCAAAGCTGTCCTTTGGTTGGTCAGGTGGCGGATACTCGGGTCGCCGACCTTCTCCGGGGAATCTAGGAGGACCCCCTCCTGGGCCATCTCCAGGACGTGGCTTTGGATATTCCCCAGGTCCTCTTCCTGGATGATCTCCATCTCCTTCCCTGGGCGGTGGGGGTGGTGGCCTCCTGTCCCCATCAGGACCTCTCCCATCCCCTGGATAATGAGGCTCATTCCAGGGTACAGAGAAACTTGGATTAGGATGTTCTGAGGTACTTGTATCTGAGGTTTGGGCGGCGGTAGTAGTGAGGGAGGGGGATTCCTATTGAATTGTCAGTAGCTGCTGCGCACGCACTATAGTATTAGCGACCGTGAACCACGGGTCACCGCTACGCACTTTGGGTATTTCGTTCTGTGAACGTGTAGATAATTTTATAGAGAGTGTTATAAATCCTGGTAGGGTGCAGAGCAGAAGCGCAATGCTGAGTGCGAGGCAGAATCGTCGTCGAGTTCGTCGAGAGACACTGAAGGACTGTTCTGACTTGAGGCGTGAGCGAAAACCTTGAACATCCATATACGACGGAGGAGGGTCATGAGCAACGAGTATGGTCTCTGCATCGCTCTCGTTAGTTAGCTCGCAGACGTGTGCTGAAACGAAAAAGGAGGTGGTGGTCGAATCCAAGAGTTAGCCTGGTCTGCCAGACGGCGGCCGAGGGGTCTATATTCTGCCATCTCTTTAACCCCGACCACCACCCGTTCCACTCCTTTTTCAAGCTTCAAGCACAAGATGGTATTGTTGCTTGAAGAAGCAGACGATCCAAATGCAAAGCTGTTACCTCCCTCTGGCCCGCCCGTCAATCGCGTGCCCGTGGACGAGAGCTATTCGATCAGCACCAGCGACACCACCAGC